GGTAGAGATCAGCGATGCTGGTTCCAACCTTTGGAGGCAGTTCTCGTCTTCCAAACCGACGCTCAACGATGCAATGCCGCTCGTTGACTCTTGGAAGCGCGAGGACCACTATTACAACGGGGTCTAGTTCAAGGACAGTTTCGCTCACTGGTGTACCCTTTGAAAGCCCGTGCTTAGGGCGCAAATCAGGAGTTCCGCAACGACGCGAGGGCAGAAGAGTGTTTCCCAACAGTGGCCGTAATACACTGAAGCATGGATCCCATTGGGTCCTGGTGCGACTACCGCGCACGTAATGCTCCTTGACCGTTTTTACCGCATCATGTACTTTAACATGTGTATTGATTTTGCGCGTCTATAATTTTTATTGGAACAACTCCCGAAAAGGCCCGAGCTGTCGCAATAATTTCACCTGGAAATTGAAAAAAATAATCCAAGCTCTCAGCTTTGTGCAGTAGCACCGGTGGTTACCAACAGGTATTTTTGTGTCTATTATCTGTTTACTGTGATGTTGCTATTGTGATGGCTGCCTGAAAAAAAGCTCATTTAGAACATGGCATGCATGGGTCAACCTGGTGAAGGCAATGGCCGGCGTAGGCATATTCGCTCTTCCTATCGCATTTAAGCAATCTGGACTATGGGTAAGTGAAGAAAAGAGATAGGCTCCTCAAAGCAGCTATCTTCAAAGGCTGCGATCGCGCATGATATGATATTGCCAGGCACGTAGTATGCCCGGTGATTAGCAGAGGAGTCTAAGGGCTGGGGGGAAGGCTGGAGATGGATTTAGCCTCAGAAAAGTTTTCCATCGTTGATTTTTTCATTTTTTGTTTATTTATTGTATGCAGGCGTAGGTGCGCTATTACAATTGATAAGTCGTTAAATGCAACGTAAATAGGGACTAAGGCGATAAAAAATCACTACAGCCCTAAATCCTCAAAACGCTAGGAAGGTGTCCTGTCAGCTACTCGAAAAAAAACATGCTCCACCACCTGTAGGAGCCATATCGAATTTCAAGAAGGATTCAAGATAGTAACTTCATTAGGCGGATGACGCTAGGGAGAACGCCACTCCTAGACGAGAATTTCGTGTGCGCATGGGATCGGAAAGCGAATTTTCAGATGTCACACTAAGGGGCGACGCTCGTCGATTCGAGAGGGGTCTACGGACAGCTAAAACTCAATCCCTTTAATGGCGCCAACTTTCTTCTTTTCTCTGCGCTCTCTTGCCTGGATGGCGATTTATGGCCACTTTGACCTTTCACATTCCAACTTTTCACGCATACTAAGTGGCTCATCCACCCCGATATCCCTTCCCCTCGAAAAACTCATCTCCTGGCTCGCATCGTGTTTTTTGTACCTCACGATGCCTTGGCAGTGGCAGTCCCTTATTGCTCTGCG